AGCGTGTTTTCACTGAATAAAGCAATCTTCCATTTTACATACCTCAGTAATTCCAGAGAAAACATTCAAGGCCTCTATTTTTGTACAAAATATTTGTGCCGTTGTTCTTTTTTAAATCAACTTCAATCATTAAGTACAGCACGTGTTTATATGCTCACCTTTGATTCGAGGGGCTTACATGTATTTGGTTGGAAATGGCAGAGGTGCAGTGTTTATGACCTGTGTTACCACAGGTAATGCAATCATGGTGTTGCCAGAATGATGTGTTTACATAATCAAGAATGAAAATGGATAAAATGAGGGTGAGGAGTGGCAAAAGAGGACAAAGATAAAGGTGGTGGAGGGACGGGACTGTAAATTGTAACAAACAAAAAGAAGATGAGAAGTTGTAAAAGGACTAAATAAATGTACAGAAGGCGGGATGGATGATAAATAAAAATGGATGAAAAATGATGAGAAAGGGAGAGGAAGACAGAGACGAGGAAGGAGTCTCCCTGTCAATCAGATTATGAACCAATCATTTGACAGAGAATTGCTTTGACCTGAAACCTGGCAGATCGCATTCTCTCCCACACACATATCCACACCCGCAGATGCACTCAGAGTCATTTCCACACAGCTGCATGGAGATAAATGTGTCTCACTTGCATCCAGTCTGGTGTTAAGTGCATGTATTAGGGTGTATCAGCATTCACGTATGTGCTCCGTTTGTGTGTCTGGGTGTAAGTAAGTGAATGAGTAATGAGTGAGTGATGGATGGACGATAATGCACATTTGCCCTCTCTCACAAGGGCCCAAAGCACTTAAATGTCTAGCCTGACTCACACATACACACACAAAATGGTGTCAGATAAGACTTCTTTCTCACTTATTTTCTGTATTACCTGCTGAACACAAATCTCCGCTGATTTTCCTTTATACTTTTACCTCTCCCCACATTTACTTACGTCTTTACCCATCACGCTAAAGCTCTGCGTTTCCTTTTGTATATATCTCCATCCTTGCTTTCTGCTTCTTGGTAATGGGGCTAATTTGTTTAGCTCACAAAGAGTGTCTGTCCATTAGTGCAGGCCTGTTTGTGCCAAGGGAGATGGTGACAAATAACACCAACATGTGTATCTGCCCTGTGTACATTACTGTGATTGTGAGTGCAACCAAAGGTATAGAGACCCGCATTAGAAAGGGTGTATTTATCATTAAGAAGTTATTTGGTCTTAATTTTGAATAAAGTAATAAAGTAAGGGGGTACCTACAGCTTTCATCCGCTTGGTGCTTTCTGTTTTTGGCTCATGAGAGAACTGGAAGTATAAACGTTTACGAACATATTCCCTTAAGCCTATACTTCCCTTAACTGAATTAAATAACCTCGCAGGAAATGGGACTGCCTCTGAGCTACCTGTGAGAGCAATCATGCTGTGTAGCACTGCACTTTTATTGGCTTGTGCCATTACATTGACAAAACTGATTAAAAACAGACATCATGTGGCTTTAACTCCACATGCATAAATTCATCCTGAAACTTTGCCATGTTTCTTTTCTAATCTTTTTCTATTGTTACATATTTAAATTATATTACGTTTTTTCATTCAAATCCAAGCATTGTTGCCTATTTGTTGTGAAGACATTTTCTGTGGCATGACTCAGTTTCCAAAGAGGTTGGAATAATCTGAAAATGATAAACCAATCCAGCTATTTCTGAGTTTTTCTATCAATATGAGTTATTTTCTATCAATATGTGCACAAACAAATAACTCATATTGATAGAAAAACTCAGAAATAGCTGGATTGGTGATTGCAGTTTTATATGACAAATATTGTGTAGTTACTTATTAACTTAAACTGCTTCCTGTACAGATCCAGCTTATTTTGGAATCATTGGCATGTTGATTCATCAGCTGTTCACTTGGCCAGACAATCCTAAGAAATACATCATAGGGAGAGCTAAACCCAAGTGTCTCTGGTGAACTTTTTGGTTCCCTGTGCTGGCACCCTTGTCTTCTCTGCTTCCAGAGTATTGCCTGGAGAGGGGAATATTTAGCACCTGTCTCCTTAACCGTTCAGTTGCCAGCTCATCCTCTGATGTCCTCCGCTCCAGTGGGAAAAAATTTGCCAATGGCCCTTCCCCGGTGAGTATCTTTTTTTGCCTTTCCACTCACTTTTTCCAGTTCGAGTTCTCCGTGGAAACATTGCGTCAAAATTACTTGGACTGACCATGTTATCATCTTTCCAAGAGGACCCTCACCCTCAATCCGTGGTCAGAGCTGCTTACTTGAGGTTGCTTTTTGCCAGCTCGGAATTTTGTTACTTCTTTATGCTATATAAACAGGAAGACCAAATGCTGCCTATCTTGGTTTTACGCCGAAGTCCTCCATTCATTGTTTTCCGAAACAGCTTGAGTCAATGTTTCCACATACAGTCGTGGATTATGACGAGGCGAGACGGTTCCGGCGCTGCATCCCAGTTGGTGCATTTCTGTGTGGAGCCTGCAAGCTCTCATTGTGAAAGCTCATAGCAATCACGTTTGTTCAATTAGTGATTCTGAATTTAACATAAGAGGGAGTGCTTTTGATCGTTTGTCCTTTATTTCTCTGTGATACAAAGCCTGGTACAGTTGTTCAGACTCATTATGGTGAATGCTGAATATGGCCATAAGACACTAAGTAAGCTTGAAATGATTCAACTCCAAGCTGGACATCTCTCCCTCTTCTCTCTGCCAACGGGCTGTCATTCCTTGGGCATCCTCCAACTAATCCTGATGACTACATCTTTCTTTTTATCCATCAGTTTCTCGCTCCTCGATTTGGCTCTGATGTGATGAGAAACTGGTTGAATAAAATAACAGGAAAGTCCTAATTAGCTGTGATTAGATTTTATAATAACTATTGTGTAACATGGAAAAACGGTGATCTTTCCATTTCTACAAATATTTGTCAAATAACCTGATTGTATTCTGAAATAATATTCAAATATGTTATCTCTTCTGAAAATTCTGCATGTTTTCTCATCATTGGCTAATAGATCAGCTCCTGTGGGAATGTGATACAGGAAGGCAAGGTCAATTTTCATTGATTGGTAAATCATTCCTCTGTTTGAGAAGGACACAGCATAGATGGTAAAACACCGGCCACTATTCCCTAGCAGACTTACAGTAAATATCCTTACTCTTGGACAAGCTAAATGCCAGACCATATTCACTTTGCCCTGTCAGCATACTCTGTATGTGTGTGCAGGTGTGTATATTTTAATGCATTTACCATATATCAATTTTAGCAACTGGGTAAAATCAGACTCCAGACAAGGAGATACTTGGAACATATTAAACATTTTTCTTTCTCCTACTTTTGATTTTTTTTCTATCTGTCAGGCTCAACCAGAGCCTCATTCTCTTTCCTGCTTCCTTTTTTAGGTAGAGCAGGTGCAAACCAGCAGATTTTCTTCCCTCAATAGTTGTTTTTCTTTCTTTCTCCCCCTTTTAATCCCAGAGTTTATTATTCTTTCTATCTTTCTGGGTGAATCGCTGTCTGGACTGAGTTAAAGGGGGTTTTGGGGTATTGAAGAGGCTTAACATTGAGATAGTTTAGCATACCTTCTAAACTTAAACATTTTGGTATGTTGTGTAAAAATCCATTCTGACTGCATTAGTGTCAGTGGCTGAACCAAAGTACAGTATACAACACACCATAACGTCAATGCAAATGAAATCAGTTGTAGCTATAGAGGTGTATATCTTGGTTTTTGTAGATTTCTTGTATTTTTTCAGATGGGGGCCTGGGCTGCCACATGATGGGGGATGTTGAGGAGGTTCTCGCGTCGTGTATGCAATCGAGACATAGAGACAGACGGGGGCAGGGGAGGCTTTGTGAACCAGCCCTTTCCCACACTCCCTTTCACCTTTTGTTGTAAGGCAGGGCCAGAGTTTTGTGACATGACGAATTGCTCTGCCTGCTTAACTGCGTCTATGATGGTTGGGAAGTCAGAGTGGAGGGAAGCTGAATAATATTAGAGTCTGAACATATATTCATATACACTTCTACTTGAGTCTTGCTCTTTCATCCTGGTACCTGAAACTGCTTCTGCGTCCCATCCCGTCTGATACAATTTCCTGCTAGTTTGTCAGTGGCCTAGAGCAGGAAACTCACTGTCTCAACACCTCATGCTCTGAACGTGCAGATTCCACCGTGGATGAGCCAGACACAGCCACACACACCAACACACAAGCTTATATGCACACCCATGCCTCTGCCAAAAAGCCAGCACCAAGCTGTTGCCCATAAAGCATTCAGGCTGTCACAATAGAGACATTACCACATGAGTGAGTGACTTTGAATGAGACTAAGGATGTGTGTGCATAGTATATGGTGGCACAGGGGGAGTTCCTGGCAAGGCAGACGACCCTGTCATCACCTCTGCCCCGTGTCAAACCAGTGATCACCGTCAGTGCGAGCATGGAGCACACACACTCATGCTGCAGTGCGCTCACATACTTTGGAAAATGTCACACATTTCACGAAAGTGAAGCTCAGAGAAAATATGCAACGTTTTGACTTGAAAGCTTGGAAATTGCAAAAACACACAGGTTGACCGGGTAGTGAATGGTTGACCCAGCAAAGGCCATGCAGGGTGAAGGGTTAGAATGGGGAGGAAAAAAGGAACAAAAACAATAAAAAAAAAAAAAATGCTTTCTTGACAAGTAAAATACTGGCGTGACTTCAGTACTTCCATGTGGAAATGAATTCTCACTTATTAAGGAATGTGGTACAAACAGAGCATAAATGCATGAGAAAACACATATTTCAAAGGTTTATCAGGAAGATGTCGCTAAGCTCTGTCAGCAAAATGTCTCGGCATGTGTTTGCGTGTGTGCAGCCCTAAAATGTCAATATGCAAAACCAGACCCTTCAACAAGGCATGCAAGATGTGTGTGGTGTTCTGCATATGTGTGTGGTAGTGGGAGCAACATGGGTTTAAGGGGCCAAGTCACCCTGTCTTTGCTGGAATGTATGACAGCAGTGTTTTGTCACTGCATGGATGAGTGCAGCATCATGGTAGAAGAAACGGGAGGAGGAAGCGGTAAGTTGAAGGAAGAAAAAAAAAGGACTTGTTTTTTTTCCCCCTTCTCTACTCTCAGTGAGGAAATTAGGTCATCCAGGCAAAGCCATTGCAGGGAACAAATGATCATCATAATTGGACCCTTAACAAACGTGTGGAGGTGGTTACTTAACACACACAGACACACACACACACACAAGACCAAAATACAGAGGCTGAAACACACTTCTATTGCTACACACATGGCCGGAAGGGGGTAAAACAGAATTTCAGCATAAATCAAAATATGTTTGACAGGTTTATAGCTCTTTCAGGAGCCTCATTTGGGACAGAAGCGTGATAGAAGAACGTTACTCGTGGCAAATTTAATTGTGGTCACAATCTGTCCATAAATCATCGTCTGGTTACATCACATTTGCCTGGTGACTGCAGGGGGAAAAATTCCCAATGCATCAGGTGACCTGTGGGATTTCTGTATGCTTTTGTTCATTTTTCTTTTCTGTGCCACATGCTGCTGGTTTTCAGACTACTATCATTTTACATTATATCCGTCATGATCATTGAAATGATCAAAAAGTCCACATACTCAACATGTAAAATCAACCTCCATGACTTAGCTTTTCCAATGATATCTACAGGTTTAAACAGACATTGTTAAATGAATGGAGCACTGAAAGTTTGACCTTGCTCACTCTCAGCTCTTTCTCACACATTTCATAAGATGGGCTCCACACATTATTTATTCATGCTTAAAATAAAACACACCAAGAGCCACGCTCGCAAAAACACTGCACATGCACAGACAACTCAGCCCCTCACAGACATGTAATATGTACTGAATAAATCTCCATAAAGTGTCGCATTTCAAATCTGCTGTGCGTGCCGGTGTTGACTGCTGCTATTGGCATCCAAAGGAACAATATCAACAGCTGGGTAAAGACAGAGAAGGGAGAAGCAAGTCGAAGCAGTAATTGCCATGTGTCATGTCACTTATCAAAATAATTGACAGTGTTTTCTGCAGTGAGATGGAAGTGTTTATCCTCGCGTAACCCTGTGGATCCCAACTGCTGGAGCAGTAATGAGACCTCTGGCTTTGTTGTGGTTTGTTTTTTTTACCAACAACTGTGGCTCTGGATCATAACTCCCTACCTTTTCCACACCAACCACCTCGCACCTGGATATTTGGTATTATCTTTTATTGATTGAAGTCCACAAGCCATGTGTGAAAAAACAGATTTAACAGAATATGTGTAGTTAAAAAACATCGACCACAAAACCCCCAAAAACTGAATAACTCAGAAAAAATCACTACAAAATCAAAATGGGCAACATCCATCCATCCATCCATTATCAATACCGCTTATTCCCTGATGGGGTCGCGGGGGGAACTGGAGCCTATACCAAAAAATGTAATTCTGTGTAGTGAAATAACACTTTGTTTCATATTTTTATTTTGTGTGTTTTTAAATAAGTTGGGTTATGTGTGCCTTTTTTATCGCATATTCTGCAATAAAATTCGGTTGAGAATTTCTATTTGTCGTTTAATCTTAGTTTTGTTGGGTTTTAACTAAAACTTGACCATAATTCTGCTGATTTTTCGTATTTGTCTATCTATACATTCTATGTAGCCTAGGCCTTCTGTTTAAAGAAACTTACACATCACCTAATAAATGTTACAAACAATAGATTTTGCACATCTTTGCTAAACCAGTCACTATAATAATATACAACCTAAGAAATAAAGAACTGAAACCATCTCCACTGATGACTTTCATCAACACCAAATCTTTGCAGAGATGACGGTAAACAGGAAAACATCAGTGCCAACATGCCAATTAAAAAATGCAAAAGGTTATGAAGTAGAAAACCAACATCAGGTAAAAATCGGCAGATCAGATGCATCCTATGTATATTTGCGCTGTGTGTCACTGGCTTGTCTCCCACAGGCCGCTGCATCAGCCCCAAAGCCTGGCGGCTGATTGACAGGACTTTGCTGATTGTGTGGACCCTCCTTCCCAGCGTCTCCTCCTCTCTCTCCTCTTTCTCTCTTGCCCTCCCTTCTCTGCTCTATCCTTCTCTCCCCTCAATCGCAAGGCTGCGCTCACCGACTCGACTCCGCCAACAGGGATGCAGCGAGGGCGCAGCGCAGCCTGAAAATGGCACCGCCACGCGTACTGTGGATCTATCCATCCATCTCTCTCCTGTGGTCCCTGCTCCTTTTCCACGCGTTGTCACCGTGCAGAGCCTTACGGAATTACCCGGACAATGAAGGTGGGTGTGTGTGGTGTGGACTTCCACGACCTTTAGGTGACTTGGCAGTGCGCCGCGGCCGCGGATTGAGGAGTCCCGATCCCCGCGGAGCGCAAAGGGCGGCAGAGTCCCGTTAAGTGCTCGACTCGGGTTATGAATCATGCATAAAGAAAAGCGGAGAGCAGCAGCAGCAGCGAGGGGAGGCAGAAAGTGTTCGTCACGTTTTCCTTTTCCCAGCAAACTGACATTAAATTTGTATTATGTATATACACACGCGCAGTCAGACAGAGCGGGCTGGGGGTCGATATTTCACTTTCTGACATCGAGAAAGCTTTTTCCCCAATATAAATCGGAGCGCTATAGTTTTCCTCCTTTAAAGTAGCCTAACTTATAATAATTACACCACACCAACATTGACACATATGCCAAAATCGCTCTTAATTATAGATATCTTCATTATGACCACACATTGATAAATGTTTTTTTTTTCCCTGCTGCGGACTACACCGTCTTTAGTGCCTCAGACTGCAAACGAGGAGCTGCAATTACATTAAATTTGTCACACGCTGCTGCAGAGCCTCTCTCAGTTATTATATTAACATCGATGCTTGAAATTAGCCAATACATTTACTTACTAAATACTCCTGACTGCTTGGTAGCCTGGAACATGAGGGTTGGACTGTTTAATGGAAAGTTGAACTTGGACTAAGTGCAGAAAAGTGCCAAATCCTGAAAACAAGTTGTTTTCTTGAAACTCGGCTTTAGTGTTCAGTGAGGCAGGTGGAGGGTTACTTGATAAAAATTGAAAGAGTTTGCAGCCTTGGCAGTCAGGGAGTTTGAGTGTGGGTGATACAGCTGTGATTTGACATAATTTCATTCTCCGAAAAGCCCCAGCCGGTCCTCATCTGAAAGCTCAGCCAAGTCTCCACACAACTACGACTTTCCTGTTCTCTCTGTCTCTTCTCAATCACAGCCGCCCGTCACAAGAAATCTTCTCGCTCCTGCTCGAGTAGGTTAGACTTAACGGTTTAACTGATTCACGTTCCATAGTGACAGGCCCCACTTAAGTATGATGCAACCTCTGGTCTCTGGCTGACTTAACAGCATCAGTAGTGTCTACATACATTTCGCTCAATGTATGTGCACACTCTTTGTCACAGTGCTGGGGAGTGGGCACAGAACAAAGGCTCTCGAGGATGGACAGGTAGCGAGACAAAGTGCAGGAGGAGTGCCCTTAACTGCACGAGACAATGCATGTGAGGGAGACTGTAAAACACTGCTGAAATATTCATTGACATGAGCACGAATGATGAAACCAGCTGGAAGCAGAAGGAAACTCCTGTTGATTTAGATAAACTCCCAGATGCATGTGAGCTTGTATGCACAAATCATGTTCCATTTGAGAGTCTTTGAGGTGACTAATAGGTCAGAATGGTTGAATCTCTGAAAAGTACTTTTCAAAGGATGTAGTGTGTAGGTAGTGTGTGTTTGTGCCCATTTGCGTTTCTCTTATTTGGTCTTTCATCCCCTGGTCAGTTCATTCTGTCTCAGTTTATTGGCCTAATTGACACCTTTAAGCCCCTTGCCTGATAGTGTTTGCATAGGTGTGTGTGTGTGTGTGTGTATGCCTGTGGCCCAAAGGAACGGTAATTCAATAAAGCCTTTTTTTGCTTGCCACTTTGTGCCCTGCTTTCTACCTTTGGCCCGTCAGTTTTCCTGCTGTGACCACACGCTTAGCTGAGGGATTGCGCTTCTTTGTGCCAGTGTGTGTGTGTGTGTGTGTGTCTGTATGCGTGCGTTTTCCCCACCCACGCATCTCAGTGGTCGTGTTATTCCAGGAAATCCTCCCTCTTGTGTCTGTCTACAGGCAGAGACGAGGCTGTATTAAAATGAGAATTACAAAACAGTCCCTTTGATAGAGCGGTTACTGTTATGGGGAAAACACTGTTGAGCTGTCATGAGAGCCTATTGTAGTACCAGAGTTATTGATCTCCTAAATGGTTGGCATTTACAAGAAAGTTGGAAAGCCATGGTAGATTGGCAGTGCTTTGACAAAACTTGAAATTGTCAGCGCACCTGCATGTGAAGCCCGAGGCACAGTGGGAATAGATTCATTTGTAAGTTGTGAGGTTTTAAATAGTTCTAAAGACCTTTGTTATCCGCGGTAAAAAGAAGAAAATGGTAGATGAGTGCTATTTTGCCAGCAGAGGGAGCCCAACACACCCTCTGTCTGAACCCAGAGGGCATACTGATGTAATAGCAGGGTGGATGCTCACAGGTTTCCCCTGTTTTAGTTGGACAGCCCTCATCCCAGTGTTCACATGTGTTGTCTGTCTGTTTATTTTACTGCACTGTTTCTATCTATGCTGATTCAGAAGAAGCAGACCATCACTGCTTTCAATTTGTGTGCCCTCTGACTTTCTCTCTCACTTACACGCTGTACTTCCTTAATCCTAGGAAAGTTGTTAGATGTATGCCACCTTCACCTGTACCTGAATGTTGATGAGAGTACGTTAATCAGAGGCATCTAAAGGATATGGTTGCTTTTCTTGCCGTTAAAATCAATACATGTCTTTAGGATGGGAAAGGCAACACAGAATGGAATAAATGTGAATCCACCGGGGTTTAGAAAATACGGCTTTTCATTGAATTGGCCTCAGAGTGCAGGGGGGAAATTGCTGTATCGCTTCTTGAGGTTAATGCGAGGTTGAGCAGTTTTAGTGCAGAGACAAGCATGCTGTATGTAGAGCATGCCCTCTGTTCAAGCTCACACCTTATGATTCACACAAGATCCTGACTGCCGAATAATGTTCGGTCAAAGGTCTCGTCTGGTTTAATTGCTTTAATCTATAATGGCTGCTTGTAGTTATCGGCAGAACCGTGCTACTAAGTGTGTGTGGAGACTGCTTCGCTCCCATGTTACAACCATGACCTTGGACTGTTGAGGACATAGATCTCCACTCATCAGAGAGGAGTAGCAAGCAGGAGCACCCTCCTGTTTTTCTTTTTTAACCTCCACTCCAATTTCTTTCTGATCCTTCTGTTTTACAAATGCCTTTTTCTGTTTTTGTGTTGGCTTCCCTCGTCGCCTTCGTCTCTTTCTCCTCAGTTCTTTTGCCGTCAGGCTTCCTGTCCACCTCCTTCTCTCCATATTTACTCTCGGCTCAGATGGAAGAGTAGACCGGGGAGTTATAAGCCACTGTATGTTTTTTATAATGAGGTTGGAGCCTTTTTATCTTCTTAACATAGGCCCCCTAACAAAAGCACAAATTGACGCGTGTTTAAAAGCACACACACACACACACACACATATACGGAGGAAAACTCATCCTGTCTTAATGTATGCCTTGAGGGCAGTTTGGTGGTCAGAGAATGGTGTTGGATATTCTGCAGGGTGACTGATAGATTGGACTATAAATATGAGTAAGTGACAGAGAATTAATCTGCAACGAGGGTTTCACCTCATCACACATTCATCGTGTGGGCACGTGTTTGTGTCTCAGTGGGTGGGATTAAGGGTGTGGGCCAATCAAATGAGGGAGGAACAAGTAGAACAAGGACCAACCTGTTATTTAAAATAAACTTTAGTGCTCAGCATTTATCAAAGCGCTCGCTAAGACTTTGTGTTTTATTGCCAGCAAAAACTACATGTTCTCGTGCTCTCCAGTGGCTGACAATGCTCTATGCTGAGCTAATTGTGTCAGTATCCGGTCAGCATAACACAAAAGCTCCTAAATGTCATTTCATTAGCACATTATATTTACTTCAATCTTTGCGCACACCTAAAGCTATTAATGGCTCGATGTGGTTTATGGTAAACTCATCAGAAACCACAAAATGTCCCGTGTTCTCCATGTTTACAACATTTAACAACACATACACTAATGACTTTTTGATGTGCCAGACTAGCAGTTTACCCTTCCCTCTAATTATCATGGTGTGCTGAGTTCACTGTCTCCTGGTAGGAAGTTTTTACGCAGCAAACAAACACCAACACTTTACATGTCAGCAATACTGTGAAAAGAGCTGTGCCACAAAAAAGGCTATTCTACAATTTCCGACCCTTTAATGTAAAAGTAGTACGTAATGCTTAGTGGACTATTCTGTCTGAGATTTGAGATCAAGTAGAGGACAGCTGTTTGACCAGTCAGAGGAGTTTGGGGTCCTTAAAGAGATAGAGAAGCATTTTAGGCATCCACAAAACACGGTTTGAGGGCCATGTTGTACGTTTTAGCGTCTAAGCATGTGATTCTCCGGCTTCCTCCCATCGTCCAAAAACCTGCATGTTAAGTTGATTGGACATTCCAAATTGCTCATAGGAGTGAGTGTCAGTGTGCTTGGTCGTTTGTCCGTGTGTGTCTCTTTGTGGCCATGTGATGGACTGGCGGAGCGTCCAGGGTGTACCCAGCCTCTCACCCATTGACCACTGGGATAGGCTCCAGTTCCCCCCCGCGACCCCATTAGGGAATAAGCGGTAATGATAATGGATGGATATTACCTGGCTTCTTTACAAGTACGGACTTATAAGGCACAAAAAATTAAACGTAATGATAACGGACAGACAAGCAGACAGGCTCATCTTTTCAAAGAGAGCTTCTGAACTGTAATCATAGGTTTACTGAAAAATAAATGAGCTACGATGAATATAAGAATGGCCCATATGCTGATGTGAAAGATCACTACTTATTTTTAACAAAGCGTAACATTTTAGTTTAAAACATGATGGCGAGAAAAGGGATGTTGTAACCAGCAGTAATTGTACGAGAAAAGGTTTTAAGGTTGACCGGTTGCCTTTGTCTGCCGAGTTTATTAACGACAGTACCTTCCATCATCATGTGATGTCTGAAGGTTGCAGTGAGCGTCGGATATAAGTGGGCTGAGCGTTGGGTATAAGTGGGCTACTACTACTTCACTACCAGGACATTTACTGACCCCTACCCCCCTCTGAACAAGCCCCTTTAATGCTGGTCAAATCCTGATCAGTGGACCTTGACCACAGTCTAAGCAACCAGCTTAAAAGA